AATATATTTCATAATTATAACTATTAATTAATAATTGATATTTATTAATTACTAAATTATAATCATTTAATAAATTAATATTTTTAAACATTATTTATAAAAATAAATAAATATTAGTAACTTTTAACACTTGGCGAACATAAACGCACCCTGTTCCCCCAATAATTTTGAGAAAAATCTGTACTTTTTATTACTCTACTTATTTAGAATAATCAATTATATTTTCTGTGTTTTTGACTTTTTGTAAAAAAAAAAAACAGGATAATAACCCAAAAAAATAGGAAAAGCAAAGCGCAGAATGAATACAAAGTGCAAACAGGTATAAAGTGTTTCATCGAATATCCAAAAATGGGGTTTAGATAGATCACAAAGAATTTTACAACTGCTTAACAAATATGCATACATAATCTTATTCCATGTATTAGGTAGTGTCCGTAAGAACCAATGAAAACACAGCAAATTCTTTAGGGTCAAATCTTTATTTCCTATCAAGAGTTTTTCCCTTCTGTTCATCATAAATAGAAAAATGAACATCTTTTTGATATTCTGACAATTGTGTATATGTTCAGAACTGTAATGGTTGATCTTTAATTCTTGTAAAATGCTGCGAACTGTCTCCATGATGGCAAGACGATATCCAATTCCTCTGCATGATGCTTCTTGGATTGGATACATCTCGTTGAAGCAGTTCTCATCACTGCATGGCTTCCATCCTTTCCCTTTAATGCATGCTGCAGTAGCAGTTATGTCATTCCAGAAAAAGAACAGAATCAATCCTGCATAAGGAAAAACAAAATACATTTACCATTCATAACATATATCAATAAAGACATTGATCGATAACCATAAATGACATCATGTATATAATTGCATGTATTCAGTCAATAAATATAATTTACCAAAATGAAACGCTAAAATAACCATAACAAAAAGTAAAAATGCAAAAAGCTTGCATACCTAAGAATGCTAAAAGGGCAATATATATCAACTTCTGTCAATAAATCAGCATATCGTTTGCAATATCACTATGAACAACTGGGGCAAATGGTGGCCAATGTGCAAAACAAAAAATCACAAGGCAAGTTCTAGATTGTCATGGCATGAATGAAAGGCTAATGGACCATAAAAGGAAATAGAAACAGTCCGCTAAGTGGAAACTTACATAGCATAAAAAGCAAGTTACCTCTTACTAAATCCTCTTCTTTCCTGCTTCACTTCTTGTGCTGTATATCCCAAAAGAAACAGATGGTGAAGCTTGTAAAAGTCTACATGTTTCACAAGTTCAGTCTTCTTGATATACCTCTATTGCTAGTTAAGTACAACTGCCATGGCCAATCTCCTTCTTTTCCCTCTGCTATTCCTAAGATAATTTGAACAATGTAAATCAGAAAACCATAATCACTGCTAAATTTCATAAAACAAGTGAGAGGTGGTAGGCATGGAGACGGACTCAAGTAAAAACACTAACCTTAAAACTGGATCTAGTAACTGTAGCAAGAGGTACAAATGATTTGCATTCGGACCATAGTTGAAAGCAACTAGTTTCAGAGGAAAAGGTGAAAGCCTTCAAAGGGTTCTACAAATTCACAATCATTGATCAATAATCAGAATCATATCATTGAAAAAAAAAATCTTATAAATTTGAAAGAAAAGAGGATTAACTCCTACTTCATCGAGAGGGTTTATAACAACTTGATAGCTCCCTATATTATCATACTCTTCATAATTTGGGGATTTGGGATATCTCTTAATAGAAAACAGTAAGTGAAACATACCATAGGTGTGTTGGGGACATAGAGGACTGATGTTGGATTCTAACCAATTTGCCAAGGTTTCTCAATTTACAACTAGTTGTCACATTAGATTCTTGAACAATCCCAGGAATTCCATAACTAATAAAAAAACACAAAACAAAAAGCAAAAATAAACTCAGGAAGAAATTAGAACTCAGATTAACCTGTTGGATTCCAAAGTGTTATCTTCAAATAAAAATTTTGCTCTAAGAGCACAAAAACCAGAAGAATTTGGATGGAATAGAAAGCCATAGATAAAAAACCAGAAACTTACATAAAACTGATCTGAAGCTTGTTACACTTGTACATCCACCAGACGTAGCTCCAGACACCAATACATCAACTCTTTCCTAGCTCTTGCCATGTTTGGCTATGGTAGCAAGGTTCAGAAAATCTAGAAGAATTTGGATGGCATGGAAAACATTAGATTCAAAACTGGAAACTTACATAGCATTGATTAAGGCTTGTTATGCTTATTGATCCATTAGACATAGCTCTCAAACACCAACACATCAACTCCTCCCTAGCTCTTGCCATGTTGGCTATGGCAGCAAGGTTCACTAGTCATCTCAGGACAGTATGATGTGTTGCATGGTATGAATCAGACTCATGAAGGGAGCTAAATAATACTCGATTGATGCTTTGTACTCCTGAAACACATTTGGATTTGGATTTGGATTTGGATTTGGATTTGGGGAGGGGGTTCAGAAGTTTAGATTGGGGCTAATCCAACATACAAAGCAAAAGTAATAACAGAACAGAAGAAAATTGTTCATGATGAGACCATATGCCATTTTTAAGGAAAATCTAACCTCTAAGTTTAAGTCTCCACTAAGAAGCTTTATATGGTAACTTGGAGGACTGCTCATCAACCAACAAGACAAAGTATAGACCATTTCCAACCCACTGCCATGTTTTCCAAACAAGCTCCACAAGTAACCTAAACAAATAGTAAATCATGACACCAAAAAGAAGCAACTCAGCCACTTATAGGAAGCCAAAAAATGATGCCAATTTTTGTCAAAAACTTTCTCTTGTACAAAACTTTAAGCTTAATAACCAACACATGTACTGTCATCCGAAAGATAAAAATCAAAATAATTTTTCCAACCCACAGCCATGTTTTTCAAACAAACTCTTCAAGGAACCTAAACAGATAACAATCATGAGTATGTGTCTCCATGCTTTGACTTGCGAATGTGAACTTTAGCCGCATTCTTGGAAAGGAAAATTAACCTCGTTGCACAATTCATGATCATGAAACCAAAAAGTTTTGTGGGAAACCTGAAAATGATACCAATTTTTATCAGAAACTTTCTCTTGTACAAAACTTTTAGATTAAGAACCCAAAAAGCATACCCAGAAATGTAAAAACTTCCTCTCCTTGAGGCCTTATTGGAGCTAGTTTACCTAGCAATAAAGGGGGCTCATTTTCAGTCAGGCTTACCCCAAAAACCAAATTATAAAAAGAACAAAATATAAAACAGAAAAAATTCAATAAAACCCTTATGAATACATAGAAATTAAGAAGCAAAAGAAAATGAAGAGAGTGAAATGGAATAGTCAGGTCAAAATACCTAGTATTTGGATGTCTAACACTTTCTTTGAGGTCTGATTCTTCAGCTCTGCACGCAATATTCCAGCCAATCTTTCCATTGTTGAGTAAGGGCTTTTACTAGAACATGTTGTCATTGGCTTGTGATTTATTTGGAAAGTTGATGATTTCTCTCTTGAACTACAAAAATTGTTTCTTTAAGCAATTAAAATAACACAAGATTGCAAATCATAGAAAAATTATTAAAAAAAAAATTGACTGTCAAGATAAAGCCAAATAAAAATATATCAAAAAAAAATAAATAAATACTATTCATGCTCCTCCAACCACAGATACTAAACAATCTAATCACCCACAATTTTATCTTGTTAGATGAGAAAAGTAGAGTACGAATCTAAACAAAAACTAAATAAAATATTAAAGTTAAAATCAAGTCATAATAGGGGCGGTGAAATCTAAACACTTACTGGTTGGAGTCTGTGAGGGAGCAAAGGCTGGATATCTTTGTCTTCTAGAATATACCCACTTAGGTTTTCCATCTTAGACACCTCGATCTCTTTCTCTTCCAAAATACCCGATTGTTTTCATTGTGGGAGGAATGAAGGAATTGAGGAAAAGCTTTTATTGGCACGTGTTATTAAGGTGGCACGTGACTTTAATTTGTGGAAAGTTACAATTTGTCCACTCAACAATTCCCTTTGCACTCATAGTTTGCAAGTCTTAGCTTCACACTACACAAATTATTTGTCAAATTTTCAGCAACTTACTGTAATATATTATCAAACAAAATTCAAATTAGAATTAAATAGTAGTAAATCAATCAACACCTTACCCTCGATAATACCACGGATATTTAGAATATTTCAAGAAAGGTTGAAGTAGGTTCTTAGCGTTAGGATGATCCCACTCCACTGATTCCCACCATTCTTTTGACTCTTTACCTATCCCGATTTCTCTGAGATGAGGAGGAGAAGATGGTTGGCCGTTATCAAGCTGGGGAAGCTGCACAGGGATCCTCTTTAACTCTAGACATCCACTTATTGCAATGCTTTCAATAGAATTACAAACCATGACTCCTTTAGCACTGCAGATGCTCTTCAATTTGGGTAACTTCCACAAGCACAATTCCCTTAACTTAGGAAAAGTGAAAGTGAATTTATCTGAAGATGATGCATCTGAATCTAATGATGCTATTATCTCCTCCATTTGGTTGCAACCCCAAACTGTAATCTTCTCTAAGTTTTGCAGGGCCTGCAATAGCTCAAGTGGAAGCAACTTCCTCATTCCCGAACATTCCTCTATATAAAGCCGTTTAAGATTGGAAAAAATGTGTAATGGTGTTGCTACTCCTTCCGCTCTCACAAGTTCACACAACCTAGGCAGTTTCCAAAGATCCAACAGTTCAAGCTCATCAAGTACTGGACAACACATTAAGGAGGAGGATGAGTCCAACTCAACCACGCACTCTATCTCTTCACTATGCCAAATACGGCACGTCCTCAACTCATTTGCTTTTTCCAACAGAGCTGTTTTGTTTAAGATGCTTCTCATGTTTTTACCCCTAATTATCCGTAAATCCTCAAGATTATCTGGAAGCACTACACATTCTTCCCCGATCTCGCAATCAATAATTACAAGCTCATGTTCACTCCATCTGATCATGTCTTTTGATGTCCCAACTACAAGACTGTAAGCAGTAGCACTTTGGAAATCTTTGAACTTGTTGACAAAATAATTGAAGTCTTTTATGTCATCAAATTGACATTCTAAAATCTCCAACTTCTTCAATCTAGCAACCTCTTCAAAATTTCTCAATATTGTAGTTTCTCGCAAACAACAAACTGCCAAGTACTTCAAATCGGAAAGGTTAGGTAATATTCCTGTTGGAATCTCTTTTAGATTTGGACAAAATAACAAATCAAGATATTCAAGACCTATCAGCATCCCCATGCCTTGAGGGACCACCTCAATCCCGGCCTTGTGCAGGTCCAACTTCTTCAAACCCTTGAGGTTTGCTAAGGAAGGCAAGTACTTTAACTTCTTGCAAAGCTGTAACCGCAAGGTAGATAGATTCTTCAATTTAGAGATGGAATTAGGTAGAGTCTCAACAGTAGTGCTAGAGAGATCAAGAACCTTCAAAGCAAGCATCTCTTCAAAAAAAGATTCTGAAATCTTTGACAAATTTGGATTGCTTGATAATATCAAAGTTGAAAGGGTTGACCACTTTGGGGACAGACTAAAAGGAACTTTGGAAATGTTATTTGCCATTAGAGACAACTTTTTAGGATCTTTTACCCAACCATGCTCATCTGGTAGCTCTACCATATTCATGCCAGCTTTTATCATATATCCAAATTCAGGACCAATGCTTATAATAGCCATGTCTCTTACTACATCATGCATCTTAACACCAACCGTAGGAAATTCAAAACCACCAACTGTACCTGAGAGACGACCAGATTTCTCTAATAGGAAATTCTTTTCAAGCCTATCTATAATAGCATGGCCCCTATTGTAAGCTGCTTCTCTACTTGGCAACCCATCAATTAGTCCTTCATCAATCCAACATTCTATCAACTCCCTCCTAGAAAACACATAATCCTCCCGAAAGAAGGAGCAATAAAGAAAACAATTCTTTACTTCCAAACGATCCAACCGATCAAAACTAAATCTTAATCGCTTAAATATCTCATCATTTGAATCTTTCACACTCTTTACACGATCTCGCAATTCAATCAGTGCATTTCTCCACACATTAACATTATCAACTCCCCTCATGCTCCCAGCTATCACAACAATGGCCAAAGGTAAACCAGCACATTCTTTCACAATAAGCTTCAAGATGTCTTCCAACCCTGGAACCTGTAGAACACCATCCCCAACTGTATTGAGGAATAACTTTAGTGACTCCTCTTGCGAAAGAGGTTGCACTTCAACAATCTTACAACACAAATAACTACATACTTCAATTGATCTACTAGTAATAACTACTTTGCACCCATTCTGTGCATTCGGATCTGGAATTCCAACATCATTAAGAGAGAACGTGTCCCATACATCATCTAGAATTACCACATATCTCACTCTTCTCATTATTTCCATTAGTGCTGCTGCTCGCATCATCACCTCTTCATCTTCTCGAAGTCTTTTGCCCATAGCGCTAGCAATCTTCTTTTGTAATTCAAAAACATTGAGAGGATGTGACACAGTAACCCATATCACTTTCTGAAATCTAGTCTCCCTCTGTAAATCATTGTGGAGATTCTTCATGATCGTAGTCTTTCCAACTCCACCAATCCCACAAACTCCGATCATTCCAACCTCATCACCAATCAAGTACCCCCAAATTTCTTGTTTAGTAGAAATTTCCCCCACTAAATTATCTGTTGGAATTATGTTTCCATGAGCTGGAGCTCTCTCAATAACAAGGCCTTCATTAAAAATGCCCCTCTCTTTAGTTCTCTTCACCACATCAACTTTTTCACGCACAAGTTTATCAAGACTGGCACGTTTGAGGTATGGAACTCTGCGTGCCCTTTCTTCAATATCTTGTTTGTCTTTTTCGACCTTTCGAACATCGTTAAGCCAGCCCCTCACTTCTTGTTTCACCAGTTGCCCCGAGTGAACCTCTGCTTGTATTCTTGATTTAACATCAATTTTTCTCCTCTTTAAAACCTGAAATTCGCTTCTGAACTCATTAAGATCTTCTTCGAGTTTTCTGTGGCAGTCTACATGCTCCCAAACATAATCCCGAATAGAATCCCCAAATATCCTCAAGATTTCACCAAAAGCCTCCATCAATGAATTTCCTAAAATGTGATAGTTACGTTGTTAAAATTAATTTTTATATGGAATAAAAAAATTTAGGAAACAATGAGTTATGATGAACTGACATTTTATTTTTATCAACCTTGTTCATTATACAGTAATTTTTATATAAAAATAATTATTTAAAAAAATAATATAAAAATTAAAAAATTTTCGAACGAAGAGATAAATCTTTAATATTTTATGTAGAAAAATGTGAATAAAAATTATGTGTAAATTGATGTAACTCACAAGAAATCTAAATAAGATACATGACATCACTAATATACAAGACATGATTTATTTTTACTGTTTATTTTTATTTTTTTTACGTTGTAATTTCATTGGTATAATTAGTATTTACTCTTAGGAGATGGTGGAAGTTTCTGCCTAGGACTCGAACTGCGTATCACCAGAGGGTGTCTTCACTGTGCTTCTCAATGAGAAGCGTGGCCAAGGCCACATAAGTTAATAGCATTTTTACTGTTTATTTTAAAAAGGCAAAACCTAGACATAAAAAGAAATAAAAAAAAAAGAAATAAAAAACTTAGAAGAAGTACACGAACATGATTCATGCAGAGCTCAGTAACATTTTCTTATGGTGCTCATGAAGCAAGCGGTTAAATAGTAATAATCTCTTTAATTAAGGGAAGCAAAAAGTCTTACATTTGAATTGTATTATCTTGGGGAAGTGAGTAAAGATATTGCATTATATATTTATTTAAAAATTATCATTTTTTATCTAAAATTAAAAAAAAAAATTTAAAAATATAATTATACATACATGATACATGAACCAACTAAATTGATTATATTTATATTATGTTTTTAATAGTTGAAAAAAAAAGTGTATTAAAAAAGGTATTAAATCAAGGGTGTACAAATTATTTTTCAAGGCTAAAATCCTATTTTAGTTTTTTTACTTTAATAAAAAAAATTTTAAGCCTAGCTGCTTAAGAAAGTCTTTTTTTAGTCTTAAAATTTATTATCCTATTCTTTTTTAGTTTCTTTTTTTTTTTTTTTGCATAAATAACATGTTAAATAATAAAAATTTCAAAATAAAGAAACTAAAAATTGGTTTTTTTAAGTAGCATGACAAACAATGGGTTTTTTTTAGTTTCTCTACTTTAGAATTTCCATCATTTAACGTGTCATATGTGTAAAAAATAACAAAGGGACTAAAAAGAGATCAAATAATAAACTTTAGGGATTAAAAGGAATTTTTTAAGTAAAGAGACTAAAAAAGACTTTTTATTAAAACAAAAGGACCAAAACAAAATTTTAACCAAATCATAAAGAAATTTGTGGTATATAAAAACTAGGGATTAAACTATAAACATATGGTTAAAAACATATGTGGCTAACTCTGCTACCAAGCTCAAGGTTTAACTTTTTTGGAAGGTTAATGAAAAAATAATTTGATAGAATTACTTTTTAGTGCATGTGCAATCCAAAATTATATATATATATATATATATATCGGAAAAGTGCGGGTCAGTCCCAACTCCAAAATAAAAATTGGAGTCCCAACCAAACGACGTCGTTTTTCTCCTAAAATACCCAGCCTGCTGTTCGTCTTTTCTCTCAAAAATCCCCAGCCCCTGTTCCTCGCTCCTCCAATTCCTTCAATTTTTCACTCAAAAATCCAGCCACTGCTGCCACCCCCCTTTGCAATCATCTCCATCTCCTTCTTCACCCCTTTTGCAATCGTCTCACGCCGCCGACCCAACTCTGCCGCTGCAATTCATCATCTCCGGTAAGTGCTTTGTTGGATCTCTTCTTTTTTTCTTTTTTTTTTTTTAGTTTTCAATGTAAATTTCTCAAGATGAAATTGATGGGAACAACTGCGATTCCTTCAATTTTTCACTCAAAAACCCAGTCCCTACTGTCAGCCCCTCTGCAATCATCTCCATCTCCTTTTTCATAAACCAGAAGCGAAATTCATTGAAGAGAAAATATTTACTTTTTTGATTCTTGTTTCTATTTTATTGCTTCTCTATTTTGTTGCATAAAGCGAAGCAGTTGCTGGATTTCCTTTGCATAAATTTAGGGAAATGCTATTTTTAGAGTAAGCTTTGGATGGTACTTATTCCTATCATTTCCGGAATTGTGGTCCCTTTGCTTTCTTCCTTACAATCCTCATAATTTGTTTGGCACCTTTTTCATATCGGAGATGATAAAGATGATTGCAGGAGCGGCTTAAAGGAGATGGAGATGATTGCAGGAGGGGCGAAGAACTGGGGGGCTGGGATCAAGAAACGACGTCGTTTTGGTTGGGACTCCAATTTTTTTTTGGGAGGTAGGACTGATCCGCACTTTCCCGTATATATATATAACATTCACTAATATTTCATGATGACCACAAATGCTCACTAATATTTCATGATGACCACAAATGCTCACTAATATTTCATGATGACCACAAATGCATTCCCTTTAATTTTGAATTTGCCCAAAGTTCATGTTCTTATTTCAAGTTTTTTCTTTTAAAAATTAAGTTAAATGTCAATTTTTATCTGTTAACTTTAAAGTTTCATATAATTTTTATTCCTCAATTTTTTTAAATAAACTGAAATACTTGTTTAGTGTATAAAATCAAAATTGAAGAACTAGATAAATAATATATTTACTAACATTAATTGGTACATATTTTGATTATATATACTATACAACATAATCATTAAGAGATCATTATTTTTTAGTTGAAATTAAAAATAGATAAATTTAAAGATATAATTATATACATAAAATATAAGAATTAACTAAATTAACTATATTTATACCATATTTTTTATAATTGAATTAAATAAATGTCAAAAAAATCAAATCAAATATGTACTAATTATTTTTCTATACCTTAAATTCAATAGATGAAATTGAAAAAAAATAGACATTGATAATCAAATCAATTTGAGCCAAGCAAATTACAAGCAGGAGCGATCAGATATATATATAAGTACTGAATTGCAATCCAAACTGTTTCTGATTATAAGAAAAGGTGAGCTTGCAACGGAGAATAACAAACTTTAAGAAGTAATTTTAGCTGGATATTTCTGGGAAGATGGACGTTTGGCGATATAGCTCGATGATTGGTACAATTATAATATTCTAATTCAGGAGGCAAGTTGAAGCCAATTACAAGAGAGGCTGGTGCTGGTGCAATGTTTCTGGAAGATGATCAGCTAGTATGAGGATAATAACATAAAGTGCAGAAATTATTTTATTATTATAAAGTCATGAATAATTGCACAACCCCTGCAAATTAAGACATTAGAACAGTGGGCCAAGGGGTTGTACAATTATTGATGACTACACACATAAAATGTTGTACATTAACAATTTGGAACTTGTTTTAATGATTGAATTATATTCAATTGTAAAATATAAATTATTAAATAAAAATAAATCTATTGATGTTCATACATTAATATTT